AATTTTATAAAAAATATGTCTCAAATTTCATAATGTAATTATCAACATATTTCATATTACAGATGGACAAATCATTTAACTTTCTTTGATATTCTATTCGATTTTCATTAGGATCAGCTCTAGGACCAATGAATTCTAACTCAATGTATTAACATAACTGCCTGAACATTCTAGTAGGTGATTCACTAGCTCTTAATGTAGTTTTGACTTCTTCATCTATTCCATCATACCAGTCTTCTACACAACCATAGAGACTATCTTCGATATAGTTTAAGAAATTTTCTGAAGTCCATTCAGTATTTAAATTAAGTACACTACTCATACTCTTTTTCCACTGATCTAAAACATTTTGTCTATCCCTTACACCATCTAATTTAAGCTTATAACCAGTTTAACTTATAGGTTCAAGAGTCATTTCTTCTTGTTTAGGTATATGATTAGGCATAACCTTGACACTAAACCGGGTAGTCATCCCTGGTATGTATCTTGGTCGTGTGCAACTTCCTTCTCCTTGGTACCTAGGTCTTTGAATAACATTGTTTTCCTTAATGTTTTCATTAATATTTTCTTCTCCAACATCATTATTATCCATTACTCTTTTACCTAGTCTTTTTTCAATCTTTTACCTAGTCCGTTTTCAATCTTTTGTTCGTTGGACAACTTCTATGGGTAGAAAGTCTAGATCATTCAACTTCATTAATCTCATTTGTTGATATAAATCTTCTTCTAAAGAAATATAATTATTTTCCTCTATTTCATTATCAGAAGCAATCCCTTTTTCAGAAATTAAGTTCATGATTTCGTTAAGCTTATTAGGGTCTTCTTCCGTATCGAATAGGGCTTGTAATTCATTAAGCGTTTTCACCTGAAGATGAGGGCTCATCTTTAGTTTCTTTATTCTTTTCTTGGTTACAAGTAAGTGTTTTAGGGGGTGATACATTAAACTTTTTATTTTTATCTAGATTTTGAAAAGGATATTTATATTTATATTTATTTGGGACAATTTAATTTTCTCTATATTAGGTGATACTTCTTTTCCAAATTGATGCCTAACTTCGTTTGTTAAATCAAGTTGAACTTGTTTAACCTGTTCTTTTAGATCGTTTACTTTTTTTTATTAATATCGGTTGTGGTTATTGATATCTTATTTTCGATATTAATACAACGAGCATGTATGTTATCAACTTCCAATCTTAATTCGCCAATTTGATCTACTATATAGTTAAGTATTGGGCCAAAATTACTAGTATTTTAAGGAATATGATAATAATGCTTAAAATCAGGTTTCTTACACTCTGTAGAAGGCCTAGTATTCTCCAGTTTTACTTAATTATTAATTTAATTAACAACTTAGTTTAACTTTTAACCGTATGGCTCTGATACCAATCGAACGCAGCTAGATACCAATAAAACTCTAGTTAGGATACCAACAATATATAAACGTATACCAACAACAATATTTGTTAAATATGATACCAACCGCAGTACTATGATGATACCAACGTGTTGTATGATGGTATTTCGATACTACTAAGGATGGTATTGGCTATATATCTCGTTGGTACTTACAGATAAGGTATTTTTTTAAAATTACGAAAATGACCTTACTAGAGACCGATCTTGGACTCTACCTATTTGAGGCCAAAATTTTTTGATTTTTTTCCTTTACTTGTTTGTACTTTTAACATTAATTCCCAACGCTTATGTACTTTTAATCATTAGTTTTACAGAATTTACAACTTTGTTAATTCTCGCGCAAAAACCAAAAGAGGTTTTGTATTAAGGAACAAGGGAGTAATGAACATTGAAATTAGTAATTTTTATTTGAGACAAACAGAGCAAATATATTAAGCGGAAGAGTCCAAATCAGCAAGAGTTACAATGGCTTGTGGGAAGTTATCAAGCCTAACATACTCTACACTACCATATGTCTCACCCCTTGCGACAAGGTGAGCAACGGTATTACAATTCCGCTTAGCATGAGAGAACAAACAAGTATTAAATCTAGCTCTGTCTGACCGAATATCATCAAAGACCACATTAATGGGAGAACGACCAGCATTATTCGAGGAAATAGCCTTGATCACATTGATAGCATCCGATTCGACCCAAATGTTGTTGTGACCAAATCGTCGTGCAAGAGAGAGTGCATACCGTACTGCTTGCGCTTCCAGAATTGCAGGGGAGGAGATTTCCACTTTCATTGTCGCTGATAAAATAAGACAACCATTATCATCTCTAAAAACTACTCCAAGTCTAGCAAGTCCCTCATTAGGGACGTAAGCATCAGTGTTGGCCTTGATACACCCAAGTGGTGGACGCATCCAAGCCACACTACTTCCAAGAGTAGGCTGAGCAATGGGAAGAAACACTCTTGTTGCATATTCTTCATAGTCATTCACCAATTTACTATATCCCGCAGCTAGAATAACCACATCAGGCCATTCATTCTCAAAAATTATCAAATTGCGACAACGCCACGATGCCCACATCAGAGTTGCCATTCTTCAAAGCACACCCCTATCAACTTTGCTGTGTAACCACTCCCATCTAACAGCAAAAGACCCGTCTGGTGTATCAAGGAGATTATCAGAAAGGTCACTATGGCTCCGTATTTCGGCAGCAGCTGTGCACTCAAATAAAGTGTGAATAATAGTTTCTTGTTGCGCACCACAAATCTGGCAGGTAGTATCTTCCGTGACATGACGATACCTTAGGCGATCTTTCACGGCTAAGTTACCCTTCACAGCCCCCCATATGAAGTGTTTAAGTTTGGGGGGTCCTGAAAGATCCCACACAGATTTCCATATCTCTTTGGAAATAACATCAGAAGCAATACTATCATTCACATTCCTTGCGAGCCAATAACAAGATTTGACAGTAAAAATACCATTCTTTACATAGCACCAATACAACACCTCCTTACAAGAGTAATTTGATAAGGGAGTAGCCAAGATCATGGCAGCAGTAGCACCATCCACTAACTCCCTTATTTTCACAGCATCCCACGCCACACACCCCTCCACCATAAGTTCCCTAACAGACATATTTTCATCCATGCCAACAGGTTGTGGAATAAAAATACGTTTACCCTCCTTCACCACCCACGCATCTTTCCATACTTTCACATCAAGACCATTCCCAATTCTCCAAGCTAGCCCATCCCGAAGAAGCCCCTTTGCACCCTATATACTCCTCTATGTAAAACACGGATCGTACCCACGCAAAGCCTCCATCACACCAGGATTTTTAAAATATCGGGCTTTGAGGATACTAAAAAGTAGGGTGTTTGGATTAGATTGCAATCGCCACAATTGTTTTGCTAGAAGAGCCTGATTAAAGCATTTGAGGTCACGGAAACCCATACCACCTTTGGCCTTTGGTAGACATAATTTCTCCTAACTTTGCCATGCATTTTTCTCTGATCAACAGATGACCCCCACCAAAACCGGCACAATAAACTGTGAATTTCATCAATAAGGCTTTCCGGAATTTTAAATTACTCATCATATAAATTGGGATTGCTTGTGCTACCGCTTTTATTAAGATATCCTTCCCGGGCTTCGAAAGCAATTTCTCCTTCCACCCATTCAATTTCTTCCAAATTCTCTCCTTAAGGAATGCAAATACGACTTTCTTTGATTTTCCGATGATCGTAGGCAAACCCAAATACTTCTCGTGCTTGTCAACCTCCCTAACACCCAAAGTGTTAATAATTTCTTGTCTCCTTTCCACCGTCACACATTTGCTAAAAGCAACCTCTGTCTTATCTAGATTAACCTTCTGACCAGATGCTCTTTCATACAAACTGATAATTTAAGCTATTTTCGAGCATTCTTGTAGAGTAGCTTTTGCAAATAAAATACTATCATCGGCGAAAAACAAATGAGACACCCTTGGAGCAGACCTGCAAAGTTTTGCTCCACTAAGCTCTTTTTCCCAAGCAGCCTTAACCAACAAGCCAGAAAAAGCATCAGCACAAATGAGGAAAAGATATGGGGAAATAGGACCACCTTGTCGGAGCCCACGAGTTGGAGTGACCGAACCAAAAATCTCATTATTCACCTTAAAGGCGAAAGACACACTAGAAATGCATTCCAACACCCGACGAATCCATCCCTCAGAAAAATCCATTTTACACATTACCATTTTCAGAAAACTCCACTCCACTCTATCATACGCCTTACTCATGTCATGTTTAAGAGCCACCGTCCCATGTCTCCCCTCGCCCCCTCTTTTCATGGAATGAAAGATTTCAAAAGAAATCATGGCATTATCCGTTATCAACCGTCCCAGAACAAAAGCACTTTGGTTTACAGTAATAATATCATTGAGGAATGGCTTAAGTATATTTGCCATCGTCTTTGATATTATTTTATAGATCACATTACAACAGCTAATTGGTCTAAATTCAGTCATATATTTCGGTTCATTGCACTTAGGAATTAGAACTACACAAGTTCTATTAATATCAGAAATATCAACTAAACCCTTCCACCAATTTTTCACCAAAGTAACAATGTCAGAGCCAATAATATGCCAAAATTTTTGAAAGAAAAGAGCATGCATTCCATCAGTACCTGGAGCTTTATTCGGGTGCATCTGAAAAAGTGCATTTTTTATCTCTGCAGAACTCGGCTCCATATCTAAAGCCAGGCTCATTTCCTCCGTAACAAGCTACTGCACACCTTTGAGGGCTCTCTCAAACTCAGTCGGATTACTTGTGGTAAACAAAGAGCTAAAGTAATTTGTCACAATGTTCTTAATTCCCCTCTCATCAATTCGCCACTCCCCACCGAATCAAATAAGCCATCAATTCCGTTCTTCTTCTTACGTTAACTAGCTTTCCTATGAAAGTACGCTGTATTTTTATCCCCATCCCTCATCTCATTTGCCCGGGCTCTCGCGTACCAATAAGATTCTTCCAATCTCCCGAGTTCATTGATTTCCCCAGCTAATTGTTCGCATCTAGCCAACATCGATGCATCAACTTGTGCCCCTTACGCCTCTTGGAGCTCACATTCTTTGTTTCGGATTTTCTTCTTAATCTCACCAAAAGATGTTGCTGCCCACTTGGTTAAATATTCCGCACATAATGCAATTCTTTTATGCGGCTCACTCCCTTCACCATCACACCAGGCCTTCGACACAACCTCAGAGCAATCCTCCTTTGAGAGCCATAAAGCTTCAAACCGAAATATTTTTCCTTTCCTTCCCCTTTCATAATAATTTATCGTGTCAAGAAAGATAGGAGTATGGTCCGAAGTAACTCTAGCAAGATGTTGAACTGAAAAATTAGGAAAAAGGTTGCACCATCCATCATCACCAAGGAACCTATCTAAGCGCTCCCTAACGAAGGTATCCACATGATTTCCTCTCTGCCAAGTAAAAATACAACCTTTATAACCCAAGTCACGTAACTCACATGAATCAATTGCACCTCGAAAAGCATCCATACAACTCTCCCTTCTCACCGCACCCCCATCTTTCTCCGACATACTCACAATTTCATTAAAATCACCAAACATAATACAAGGGACCGGTCAATCATGTTTTAAATTTCTCATCAACTCCCAAGTTTATGTTTGTTCTCTGACTCTGGCCACCCGTAAATTTCCATAGCCCTCCACAACGGTGCACCACTACTATCACAAACATTCGCAGCAAAATGATTTTTTGAGAAAGAGATCAACTGCACATTCAAGTCACGCCACTAAAAACACACACCACCGGATCTCCCATTACTGCTTATACACATACCATTTTCAAAACCATGTCGACGTTTAATTCTTTCCATCACTACATTGTCACATTTGGTCTCCATAAAAAAAACCACATTCGGCCTTTCTCTCCAACATAAATCCCGGAGAGTCCTCTCCGTCCATGGGTTACCAATCCCATAGACGTTCCAGCTCAATATTTTCATTTTTGTTCGAGGGGTTGACTATTACCAACTCCCTCTACTTGGATAAAACTGTCCCCAGAGCTAGAAACATCACCCATTTTCAATTTCTTTACCGACTCCATCCCCTCCCCACTCACACCATCCCCCTCATTAGAAGATAAACCCCCCTTTTTTTTTCTCTCAAACTCTGAAACCCCTTGGATCACCACTCCACCCATTTGATATCCTTCTTCCATTCTTTCAACCCTTTTCCATCCCTTTTTATGATTATTTGCAAGCATACCACTCCCCAAACCCACAATTCCCCCCCTTCTGCATTCCCACTCCCACATTGAACACCCCCATACTCTCCAAACCCCTATCCACCATCACGTCATTCCCCACCCATCCACATTACCAGCAGCCATCACTTCCTCCCTATTTTCAGATTTAACCCCCCTCCCTTACTACATTAGTTCCATCACCCATATTCGACCAAGGCATCATTCCGTCCCCCAACTCATCTAGTACACCCTCCGTTTCCACCTCCTTAGCAACTAAGCTTTTAGGACGTAAGACATGCTTCTTTGATTTCTCATCAAACACCAAAGCTGAAGTAGCTTCTCTCGCCTTCGGATTTGAGGTCCCACTAGGCGAAGATGGAGACGAGAAGAGCAACTTCCTGGCAGCACTAACAGGACCTAATTTCACCACCTCCGAGTCATTGTAAGAGAGTGAGAGACCCCCTCTCGAAGAGCTTAATTTCGACAACAATTTCTTCTCCTTTTCCCGAGCTCCTAACACAGCTTGAGAGACTTTTAGGGGTGAGGCTCTAAACCATGGACCATATTGATAAATAATTTCAGAGCATTTTTCATCATCCTCCTCTTTCTTGGCACACATTCTATCCGTATGGTCAAGGCAGCCACAGTAGAAGCAAAAATCATCGAGGCGTTCGTACTTGATATCAATTCATTTCGGGTTCGATTTACTCATCGCCATGAACAAACCTCGCCGTAGAGGTTTTTTTAGCATCCACCAGAACCTTAATCCTTACAAATTCGCCCCAACCTAAAGGGTCCGACTCATCAATCTCCAAGAAACCCCCCAGAACATCACCAACATCATGCATCACAGCAGGAGTTCGCTTATTGAAAGGTATGTCCATTAACCTTACCCACATTGGAGTACGGCTAATATCAACTTCCGATGGTTGTTCATCCCCTTTTATCTCCCCGAGTAGCATAAGTTTCCCATCAAAGAACCATGGCATACCATCGACAACCCTTTTCTTATTTTCCATGTTCAGAAATTGAAAAATAAAGAGATTTGTATCCACCATCCTAATCACAATGTTATCATTCACCTTCCATACGTTCGTCAGGGTTTTCTTCAAAGCCTCAGCGTTAAAGGGTTTCACAGTGCATAATTTTCAACTAAAGCTAGTTGAATTTGTTTCTTCTTCGCAACATCCTCATCATCAATCAACTCACCCACCACAGTACTCTCCTCCTCCGTCAAAGACAATTTTTCCCACTCTTTAATTATATCGTCCGCCATAATTAAACAATTGCAGCAAATGAATCAAGGGAAGGAAACTTACGAAAACAATCTCAGTAGAAGAAAAGAGAAGTCTTAAGAAAATTGGAATAAAAAATCGATCAAGAATCACACGACAATACCCAACCTTAGGCAAGGACCACGAACCCTAGACCAGGGACTTCATATTATGTAACATTGAAATTAGTACTCATACAATATAAAATTGGAAAAGATATACTATCACATGCAAAATTGAGGGCAATATGAAATAATTAAAAAAAATAATAATAAAGCAGGGTAATGTAGTTCAAATTTTATGTCTTAAAATAGAAAAATCCTAAATGTAAAGAATAAATAGGAACACTCAAAATGTATCGATTTAGACTCGTCATTTCGTTGAGGTTGTGTATCGAAGTGGTACTAATGTTGTGGAAAAAAAAAATCAAAAATCATTACTTTGAAAGTTGTTACTCGTACCTAATTAGTACATGGATGATAATTGGCATATTAAATATTTATTCACAATCTAAATTCATTCGAATTTTGAACATAAGACTAATTGAATTTGCTGTCAAATGCAGTAGAAATATTGTAAGACAATTTTTTTTCCCTACCTTTATATTTTCTTCATTTTTTTTAGTTGATACGTTTCTTTAGTCATGTTTGTCAATGCATAACTTCAATCATTCATATCTTTAATTACTGATAAGCAAAAAGTATGAAATATTGATATTTTGAAAATATATATTGTGGCGACTCTAATAAGATCTCACATGACTATATTTTTCATTACGTATAAACACAAAATACGGTCAAAGGAGAGTATATAAATAGTGTTAAAATCAAAACATGTCAATTAAAAAAATGGAGGTAAAAAAAATATATACGAGTTTTTCTAAGCTGAATTTATCTCTACTTTATGGCTCTAAGCCTCTCATTACAATGATAGTATCTTCTTTCCAAGACCATTTAGGTTCCAAAATGTGTAGTCCTTGGATAAATAATTAAATTTCATTCCACTGTTAAAAAAAATTTGCTTAGTTCGATTTAAGGGTTTTTTTTTTTTTTTTTTTTTTTTTTTTTTTTTTTTTTGAAAACAGGTCCATAATTTTGAATCTAACAAAGCTATCAAGAACTAAAACATAAATACAATACGGTATGGTGTAGAAGAAAAATGGGAATAACAAAAAATTCTGTCTAATGAACAAAATATCAAGCAACTTTTGAGAATGAGGTTGTTTGGCAATAAGCGGTTGACTTTTGGTTGTTGGCTGGTTTGCTTAGCTTGTTTGATCAACTGGAAGTGTTAGGTGTATGGATTGACTTTTTAACTTAGGGTCTGTTCTCATTGACTGAACTCAGCTGAACTGAACTGAACTTAACTTAACTAAACTGAATATTTTATAAGAGAAGGAAATTAGGATCTAAACTGAACTGAATTGAACTGAAAATAAACGTATGGGAATAGACCCTTAATTGTTTAAACAACTATTTACAAAAGTGTTTCACTAGTAGAAAAAAATGCTATCTGTAACGCCCTATTAGTAACTGAAGTATGTTAGGCTAGTTACAAAAGCATCAATAGTAACCAACTAAGATAATGCCAGTTACAAATTTTATTATTTAGTAACAGACGTTAGTAAATGTCAGTTATTAATATGTGTTTTATCATTGTTTGAAATTTTAATGTAACTGACTAAATAAATGTCAGTTACAAATATTAAGTCAAAGGAACTTTGACTAAAAAGTTTGTAACTAGCGTACAAACGCCAGTTACAAATATTAAGTCAAAGAAACTTTGACCAAAGCGTTTGTAACTAGCTTACAAACGTCAGTTACAAATATTAAGTCAAAGAAACTTTGACTAAAAAAACTTATAACTATCTTACAAACGGCAGTTACAAATATTAAGTTACTACTTCCTATAAATTTTCATTTAATATTTATTGAAGTTAAAGGAAACAATTTCTGGCTGAACACAAACAAAAGATTTAAACTTTTTATTTGTTCCACTCACTAGTAGAAAAAATGCTATTTGTAACGCCCTATTAGTAACTGGCGTATATTATACTAGTTACAGATCATCAATAGTAACCGACTAAGATAACGTCAGTTACAAATTCCATGACATTAGTAACCAACGTACTAAATGTCAGTTACTAATATGTGGTTTATCATTATTTGAAGTTTTATTAGTAATTGACTAAATAAATGTCAATTGCAAATGTTCAGTCAAAAAAACTTTGACTAAAAATCTTGTAACTAGCTTACAAACGCCAGTTATAAATACTTAGTCAAAGAAAATTTGACCAAAGCGTTTGTAACTAGCTTATAAACGCCAGTTACAAATATTAAGTCAAAAAAGGTTGACCAAAACATTTGTAACTAGCTTACAAACGCCAGTTACAAATAATAAGTCAAAGAAAAGTTGACCAAAACATTTGTAACTAGCTTACAAACGCCAGTTACAAATATTAAGTCAAAGTAAATTGACCAAAAATTTTGTAACTATCTTACAAACGCTGGTTATAAATAATAAGTTTAACAATATTTTTTGTTTTTTTTAAAAGCGACAAATATTAAGTTTCTAGTTTTCTACTTTCTATTAATTTTATTTAATTTTAATTATATTTTTTTTTTGGAAAAGTAAATTTCATTTAAATTTTGATTAAAGGTTAAAAAAAAAATAAAAAAAAATTAAGGTAGCTAGTATTATGCATATAAATTGGCAGAAATAAAAAAAACCATTAACACTTTCGCTCCAATACAAACTGCTCCTCCTTCACGCCTTCACTGCTCCTCCTTCTCCTTTACCGCTCTTCCTTCTCTTTCGCTGCATCTCACTCCATTAATTGCTGTTTTGGTTTGTTCGAATTTGGGATCAGCTTTAGGGGATTTTTATCAAGGTTTTGAGGTATGTATTCCTTTTGAATTAGGGTTCTTGTACTTTCGAATTAGTGGTTTTACATGAAAATTCGAATTGATTGTTGTTGTTTTCAATTACTTGATTTATTTTCTATGAAATTAGATTATTAAAAACTAAGAAAAATCGGTTTTAATAAATAATTTCAA